TCCCTCCTCCATCCTTTTGAGTTGCCTGCTCAGGTTTGGCACTCTTTTAGGGACCCAAGGCCGCTTCGCCCTTGCCGGACCCGGCCGACAACGGCAACCCCGCCCGCATAGCCACGCCAGCATATTGCCCAGCGTCTAGAGCACCGCACGTGGCTCCTTTGCCTCGGTCGAAGCTGGGCCAGATGGCTTGGGCCGGCCCTTGAGCCAGGCCGCCGCCCCTCCCCTTCGCTCGGTCTCAAGCAGGGGGCGAATGTGGCCGTGGGCGATTGTTTTCACGGGCCGCCCAAAGAGTAATAGGGAAAATTTCGTTTTCGCTTTCTTTTTATTATTTGGAAAGAGAAATGCTTTGGAAAATGTTTGAATACTCAAATTTGCTCCAAATTTGTTGAAACAAATTTTGCTAGGATCCTTGTCACCAGATATACATGATAAAAATATTGCATGTTATTTTTTAGATGCTTTTCTATAGAGCTTTAATTAATTCTTGATATTGCTGATATCTTGTAAAATGGTTAGTAAATCCTATATGTATCAGAAAAATATGATTCCAAGTTTGTTACTCTTCTTGTGTAATGTACTTCCTAGAAAAAAATATGTGTCATGCATGTTCTGTAGAAAAATTATGAGGTGTAGTTCAAGTGCCTTTAATGGCTGATTTTTGTTATTTTTGCTAGAGAGCAAAATTTGTATAAAACATGCATGTGATAATTTTTGTACAGTGATTATTTGTTGTGTAGAACATAGGAAAAATATTTTATCTGTTGTTTGACACTTTTCACAGTACAAAGTATTTTTATGTTCATAATCCTGCCATAGCTTGTTATTTTTGTGTAGGCTAATCCACTCATTCAAATATCATAAAAATCTGCTAGTAGACTACTTAGGGTAGTACTGTGCTATGGTAATTTTCTAAGATTTTTCTAAGCAATAAAAATAGATGTTGCTATTCAAACCTATTATTAATTAGGATTTAATCAAGTGTTGCCTTATGTGTGATTAAGAAATTAGTGAAGCTTTGGTGTATCTTTGAAGCATTTTAATGAGATGTGTTGACTTAGCATATTAGTAGTAGAAGAGAATGCATTAGATGACATGTGCTTGTAGTATATGTTCTTGGATGATGTTGACTACCTTGCATTCAAGCATATCCATTGTATTCATCTCATCCGATGCACCGATTGCATAAGCACTTACGCACATTGCATCATACAGGATCGTAAACTAAGAACCCAGTCGTCATACCCGAGGAGCCCGAGGAGCAGCTCGAGGTGCAGCTGCAGGAAGTGCCCGAAGCCGACGAGGAGGACGTTGAGGAACTTCTGGAGTGCCCCGATCACCGCCCGAGCTCCTTCGAGAGAGGCAAGCCCCGGATGCATTTTCTCCCCGGTTTGCAATTGTTAATTAACTGCTTTACTTTAATTGATGCATTACGTTCAGGAGTTGTTTGCAAACGTTGCTGTATTATACCTTATCTACCTTTGTTATACTATATCCTTGTTACCCTGGTATCCGCAGTTGAGTCAATGCTTAGCTGGCTTAGACCGGTAGAAGTCGGATGATTTCCTGTCACCTGCGAGCTATAGGTGGTTACCTGGATCTGCTTGGATAACTATGTAGTCATGGTATAACTAAGTGTTAAATGAAGTTGAGACCGGACGGAGACTTGCAGAGTTTTGGACTGTAGTGCTTTCCGTCTGTGTCGATTAAGGACCGACCGTTGTTGGGCCTCGAGTCATGTTGAACGCATGCCTTACATATAGCTAGCCGAATAAAGTACCTTTCGACCGCGAAGCTGGGAGATTATTCGTGCCGAGTAGCTTGCCCGCAGCGCACTGTACCGGAGGAGGTGTGGTAGGACACGGGGGCGAGATGATAAGACCAAAGTGCAGTCGGTCGGCCCCCGGGTACATGTGGTTCCTGGCAAACTCGAGATTCCTGGATAGTTGACTCGATGACCGTTACCTCACTTTAGCGGGTGAGTGAGGTTTGTGTAAGGAATAAATCACCAGCTGGTTAGGAATCGATTCGAATCGCCATCGCTCCTGGATAGTGAGCACTTGACTTGAGTGACTTCATCGTAGTAATGTTGATGGAACACTTGGACAGTTATAATGAATATGACATTATGGAAGTTGTTAATGATCATTGGTTATCATTATTTACTTAATCACATGTTTGCTCTAGTATAGGTGCAAATCTAGTCGACAGGTTAATAATAATTAACTTGACAATAATGCTTTTGAAAGGTTCTTGAAATGCTAAAAATGCCTCTTTTTGCAAATGAGTCAGCTACCCTACTATAAAGCCCTTCATAATCCTTGGTGTCACTTTATTTTCGGTTATGTCGGGTAAGTCTAGCTGAGTACCTTCTTGTACTCAGGGTTTTATTCCCACTTGTTGCAGATGGACAGATGTATTACGGCTACTGTATCAACTGTCTTTATCCTGCGATGGGTGATGCTTAGGACCATGGGCATGGTCATTCCTTACGTCTCGTCTGATGCTTTTGTTGGAGATGATCATTAGTCGGCAATCAGTATTTGAACTCCGTGTGAGTGTGTGCGGTTTTTTGAACAAATGGCTTCCGCTACTTCTATTTGAACTCGTTTTGTAATAACTATGTTTAAACTCGATGTATCCGTGATGCGAACTTTTATGTAATATGTGATGGTGACCGCTAAACTTATTACGATCTTGGCCGGTATGTGAGTTGGTCTGAAATCCTTCGCGATTTCACGGACTACCGGGTTATCTGAACTTAAGATTTGTTAAATCGTCTCTACCAAGGATGATTTTTCTTACTTAATTTCAGTATAATTGGTCGGTTCTCACACAAATAGGTTCGTGCTAGGTTGAATTGCATATGTGCAAAGTTTGGGAGCGGTTCATGGAGGTTTGGGTAGGATTTGGTTGAATTTCTTGGAGCCGCCTTTTTTCTTCGCTTCGCTTCGCCTTCCTGCTCGTGCGTTTACGGTTGGGGACAAGAGCCACCGGTGTGAAGTGGAACGGTGCGGTCAGATCCCCGCCTTCCCTTGCTGCAGCGCTTTACGATTTGCTCGGTCTTGTAGAAATCGGCTCAGCCTTGCGGCGCTCACTCCTTCTATTCTTCGTTCTTAGTTCCAAGTTTGAGCGCTTCGTGTGGAGCGAGGTGGGGCCCAGCCGTCTTTGGGTGCGTTTGCAAAGACCGCCATGCTTAACTCGCCCAGAGCAAGCGGTCGCCGGGGACGATCTTGGTTCGATCCACGACTCACGATGGGGCTGCGCGCCTAGGGAGGAGCGGCCGGGGACGGTGGCCGCTGGCGTCCTGCTCTCGCCCGGGAGATATCCCCGCACGGGAGAGAGAGAGACGGCTTATCGTCCGTGAGGAGAAGAGAGAACGAGGAGTAACGGAGGCAAGGGTAAAATGGTCAGATCAGGTAAAAATTTGGGCTGAAATTTTTTAAGGTGGTCTAAAATCAGGAAATGGCAAAATAGCGTGAAACACCTATTTCATAAGGGCATTTCAGCGAAGCTCACAAACTTGATGGCATTTGGGCGAAGCCCACCTGCCATGAGGGCAAAATTCCAATTTTCGCTGAGGAGAGGGTTAGGGTTCAGGCCTTCGAGGCAGGTGGAGGGGGCTCTCCGTAAAGTGCCTTGCGGGGCTTCTTCGCAAAAAAGAGACCAATATCAAATTTTCTCTTCTTCACGTTATAATAAAATTTTCTTTAGGGACTTATTCGAAAAAAATAACAAACATGAATATTGTTTAGGTATGATGAACTGAATCATGGGTTAGTTAGCGAAAATTTCGAGTGGCTTTTTGCAAAACAGCTTGCGCCGCTGTGGTGCTACCAGAATGGAGTGGGTTTTAAACAACCTTGATTCTTTCCTCGTCCATGTGGCCAACTCGGGGTGACTGTTTTGGCTGCTGAAGTTTGGTCAGGTACCAAGTTTGGCAAGAGTCTATGAGCCTGATTGGTTGATGGCTAAATTTTGATTGCCAAAACTTAGTCAAGCCAAGATTCTGGCTTCCATTTGGTTTGGTAGCAAAATTTGCCACCATCTCGCAACTGGCGTACCAAATCTATGACAATATTACATTCAAGTCTTGACAATTTTTTCCTGCCTAAGTTTTTGGTATGGTAAATTTGATAGCCAACCAAGCGGGCCCGATACGTTGAACCAAATGTGTTAAAAGCAAAAAAAAAAAAAAACAATCATGCGTGAAGAGAAAAGAGAAACACCCCTATCACATATAATCGCTATTTGGTAAGACCCATTGAATTTTGTTTTTGTTTTAAACTTTTGTATACCTCGTGTATCCTAATATATTGTATCAATCAAACTATCATGAAATTTAATAAAATCATTGCTTATTGGGAGAAAAAAATCATCACATGATGAGAAGCCTTAGCCTTTTAATAAGTCTATTTATTTGGCATCATTATTCATGTGACGAACTAAACCAGTGCAAGTTGAAGGTGATGAACATGGTAATCCTGTGAGTAACAGATGTTGCACGTGACGTGGTAGCTATTCACGATTATGGGCCGTGCAAGAAAGGGTAATCAATCTCCAGTTAAACGGATAATCATCAGATAGGAGTGTACCGTATCACTGAAGCTTCAGCAGCTTGCTTCTTGGATGAACGTTTGATCCATTCTATCCAAGCAAAATGGTTCCGGAATATGCCGTGCCTGCCAGCTGGCTCCACCCACGTTGACCGTTGACACCGTCCACGATCAAGTCAGCACCACGCCAGCTGGCAGCAGGCCCCGCACCAACATCTCGTGCCCCGCCGACGAATTTCCCTCTACTTGGAGCCTTGGAGGCTCTTTTTCAGCAAAACGCCACAAGAAAAAAAGAAACCCCCGAGTCTGTCGCTTGAAACGGGCCTTATCAGCATCGTCGTTCGGCCCATTCGAGGCCCACAGAGTTCGGCATAGCTCGCCGCCCCCAAGTGCGGCGACGGAGCAGAGTGAGGAGGAGCAGGAGGCTAGGGTTTAAGGTGCTCGGCGATGGCGTCGGCGGCGAAGACACTGGCGCGGGCTGGATCATCCCTGTTCGGCCGCATCCTCGCGACCCCGTGCCCGTTCCCTTCCATACTCCGCGCCCGGCTGCCGCTCGCCAGGCTGCAGCCGCACGTCCCGCCGCCGGCACCGGGAGCCCGTCGCCAGGCTGACGCTTACGAGGCGGAGACCGTCGCCAGGCTGAGCTCGCTCCCCGGCGAGATCTCCTTCCCCTGCGGCCTCCCGTCGCTCCGCTTCTTCATCGACGACGGTACCTCTTCTCTCTCACACACACGCACTCTTGAATGAATTGGGCCGCGATTGAGTTTTACAGTTGGGCTCGGGTCGCTAGTCACTGCTAGGTTCAGAAATGGGGAATAGGGGGGGACTGGGAGCAATGTTGCCATAGCGTACATTGTATATAGAGATTGTTGCGTGTGACCTCTTGAAACTCGCATGATTTCTGATCTACTGCACAATTTCTGTGAGTTGCTGTTATACCATTACACTGTTAACCCTTGCTTTGTGCGGGATTGGGAAGAATTGCCATGATTTCGCACAGTATGCTTCATTCGTTCATTCCGGGGACATTGTTTTCTGAAATCTCTTCCTCAATGGCGATGTGCTACTATTAGGGTGTGTTTGATTTGAGGAAGGGTGGATGGGATATGGCTATCCATGGATTTCGGGATATGGATATCCATGTTGTCTGTTTGGTTGGATGAATGGGACGAACCATTTTTGTGTTTGGTTGGATGGATGAGATTGCATGGGATGAGAATACTTGACTAATTATATCTATTATTTAAAAATAATAACAACTAATTATACCCTAATAAATATGCACTGACACTAATCTTGTCATTATAATCACTAATTAAAAATAAAATATGTTAATTAGCACTATACTACTCTAATTGTCACACAAAACATGCGCTAATCAACATGTGGATATCCTCATCCGCTAGATTTTTGAGGGCCAGGATATCAAGCATCTATCCAGAATATTCCCTGTTGTGGATATCCAGGTTCAGCTTGTCCATCCAACCAAACACCCTATATCCATGGATATCCATATCCCATGGATATCAATGGAACCAAACACACCCTTACCTGTGTTATACTGTTATGTGTCAGCGCTTGTTTTATTAGCTAGTTGTAGCTCGAGGGGGTCTGCAGATGTTGCCTGACTTTCATGTCCTCTAGTAACTCTAAGTGGTGCTGTATTGCTGCAATATTCTGAAGAAGCACAAAAGTGATGATTTGTGGGTGTGTCTGGCCCACTAATGAGTGTGTGCTTGACAAATAATTCTTTAGTGCCTGTGCTGCTAAGTTGCACGGATACGTGTATCGGTATCGGAAGGATACGGATACGTGGATACGGCAATTTCCTAAAAAACCCGATACGCAGATACGTTTACTATTTAAAAAATAAAATAATAATAATAATAATGCAGGTCTGACGACCATTGTCTTAGGAAAGCCCACGGCCCATCTAAGCACCATATGTGACACGTAGTATGTCCTACCAGTGCCCTGTCCAACAACCAAACCATTCCATCGATTGCCACCCATCCGTCTCCAGTTCAGCTCTCGCACAGGCGCACAGCAGCTTTCGCTCCCCGCACCCCATCCCCATCTGCTCCACCGCCCGCATCCCCGTCCGCCCTTTGCTCCATGGCACACCACCTCCGCTCCGCTTGTGAGCAACCTCGAGCCTGCTTGGATCCTTTGCCGCTGGTCGCCTCGCCTCACCCGCTTGCCTCTCCTCGCCTCGCCCGCGATTGAAGCTCTGCTTGGATCCCTTGCCGCTGCCTGCCTTGCTTCGTCTCGCAGCTCGCTCCGGCAGCGTCAAAGCGTCGATTCGGCGGCCGCGGAGCTCGAATCGACGGCAGCAGAGGTCGATCCGGCGGTGGCGGACCTCAAATCAGCGGCAGCGGAGGTCGAATCCCGCGGTGCCGGAGCTCCAATCAGCGGCGGCGGCGTTGCCCGAATCGACAGCGGCTCGGCGGCCGACGCGAGCACGCGCAGGACTCATCTCCTTCTGCTCCCCTTTGTGTTGCACGACCTCCACTCTGTTCGTGGCTGGGCCGTATCGGCAGGCCAGATACGTATCTGACGGCGTATCCAACATTTGCGAAAATAATAAAAAATAGGATACTCCGAGGATACGTATCCAGAGCGTATCGGACACGTATCCGTATCCGATACGTATCGGATACGTGATACGTGGCTTCAGGGACGTATCCGTGTAACATAGCTGTGCTGTCTTTATGATTCACAAGCGTTAGGGCTTCAAAATCTGTGTTGTTTGGTTTGTATTGAAAGTTAACAAGTGGTTGATCAACCTTGAGAAAAGCCATGTATGTAGTGTGATTGATACTCTTATGCATAGAAGAGCACATTGCTTGCAATACATTATGCACTATTTAATGTTCCCTGTATGCCCTTTTCTACCTTGAATAGGTAGTAGAATCCAAAGCTTGATACGCTGCATTATTGTGTGTGATCATTTGAAAGCCTAAAACTGAGATTGCGTGGAGCTTGGGGAGGTCTCTCGCTTATAAACATATGATTTCTATTAAGTCCTACATTTGGTAGAAAGTGCACTAGAAATACTCAACTACACGTTTCTTTTTGTTATCATAAGATTGTTTACTTGCATGCTGCCAAATGGTGACTGTGGCTTGTTCCATCTGCTGCTGATTGTCCTGAAATTGGGTAGAAAGTGTCTGACAAGTGACAAATACTCAAGTACATGCGATTCATCTTGCTGTTCCTGGATTGTTTACTTGCATGGTCCCAAACAGTTACTGTTCCTTGCTATGTCTGATGCTGAAAATATCCATAGTTATTAGGTGAATGATACAGTCTTGGTTATGACTTGTAGCCTTTTGATTATGAGTTTATGACCTGGGAGCTAGGATCAAATTATTTTTTTTCTGAGTTTGATGTCTTTGCTAATCCGTTGCTTATGTTCTGCTATTTGTAGTTGAGGATCCTGTTGCTAATGACCCCCTTCAGTTGCTTCCGAAAAGAACTTACCAGCCCAGTACCATCAAGCGGAAAAGAACCCATGGATTTCTTACACGGTCTGTCACTCTAGCTTCCCTGGTCCAGTTCAACTGTGCCACTATTTTGCATCCCTCATCCCTCGTGCAAAAAAGACTGATGGGTTTCAAGTTGGAATTATCCAGCTTTGTACATGTTTCCATTCATGTTCGCCTTTGGCACCTCATTTACATTTAGATAGAAGGTTAGTTTTTTTTTTATCTCAAGATAGAAGGTTAGTTTACCTGGCATGACTGGTTCAGTTCCCTGATGTCCTTGTTGCATTGGTGCTGCAGTAAATCTACTAAGGGCGGGCGCAAGGTGATTGCCCGGAGAATCGCCAAAGGCAGTCACAGAATTTCAGTTTAGCAAGACCCCGTAGCAGCCCTCTGGATGTTTTCTGTACCACAGATTCGTATTGTGTTCGTTGTATGAACACCTAGTGCTTTTATTGTATGCTTACCATCCTGCTGAAGGTGAGCGCCGCACAAGCAGCAGACTACGTATGGATTTTGATTGCGAAACAAACTCTTCTGTGAAATAAAAATTTTGCTCGGCAAATCAGTTCAGTTTGAGCAGCTGCGTGCTGCGGTTGCTTCATTTGTTTGTTTGTTTGCAACTGTAATTAACACGTATCAGATGTGTGCTTGATACGCATGAGTGTGTTGTGTTGTGCCGGTTCTTGTGTTTGCCACTTGGGCTTGTTTCAGTCCTTGTTGGCTGGGTTCAGCGGTCCTAGCGCAGTAGGATATACCTGCTGCCATTTTCTTTTGCGACATTGTGGTGTATACTATCATGATAGCCTGATACGGGTTGGACGCGTTGCCTTTGCTTGCCCTGTTCGATGTGGTGCGGTGGCGGCCGCTCGCTTGGTCACGCTCCTACCAACTGCTACGTGTACCATGGCTCTCTCCTGCCACCACGGCTCTGAAGCCGGGAGCATGAGGTATATCATACCTTAAACTGTGTGCTGGAGAAAGGAAGCAATGCGTTCATCACTCGTCAACCGTGTATGCCTTTGGAGTTTGGATGCATGTGGCACGTGGCACCCAGCGCTGGAGCTGAGGCCGTGAGCTCGCACGTGTTGCGGTTAGGTCCCAACTCGGTGCCGGTTTCAGTCTGCTGCGTGGGCATCTTAGCTGAATATCCTTTTTCTTTTTCTTTTTCTTTTTCTTTTTCGAAATCTATTGATGTTCTAGCCTTCTAGGAAACAACATTGGTCCTTAAAAGTTAAAACACACACCGCAAGTTTCATCTGGCACATGCCAAGGGAATTTTTTGCTGAAAATCAGATTTCCTTCGTTGCACGTAGTGGAAAATTATACATCTAGAAAGCTAAAACGTCTTGTAATTTGAATGGAGGGAGTATCTAATATGTACTACTCACCTCCTTCAGGCTAAACGTACTTAAACTTTAGATAACGACAAAAGGTGTTCTTCAATCGAAATGTATGTAATAAAATATCTAAAAAAAACTTATGATAACATTGAACTGGATTTTACAGATACGATTTCTCATGTTTTTATTATAAGTGTTTGAAGACAATTGACGATCCACATTTTTAGATCTTCGACTAGGAGTATGATCAAAACAGGATGTTCCGTGCCCAGAGCCCAGAGGTCACTATAAAATTTCTCTAGAAATTAATCACATTTTGGCAGGGGAAAAGCCCTCCTGTGATTCACTAGCAGGTTGGCCTTTTCCACGGGTTGATTGCACAAAATAAAATCACGAATAAATGGGGTACAAAGAATTGGAACACGTTACTTATTTTATGCCACAAAACATCTAAAAGTGGCTAACCAAATATCATACCGTAAGTCTTCAAGTGTAAATCGATAATGATATGGCTTGGGTGTCCGTACCGTGACTTTTCGTCCGGATGTGGCTCATTCTCGTCCACTCGCCTGCATAGCTCGCGTGACTCCCGTCCAGACCCCCATGGCTCATCCTCATCAACTCGCCGACGTCGCTTGCGCCGCTCTGTGTTGTGCGCCCCCGCTCGCGGTCGCAAGACGGATTCTGACTGCGCTGCTCGCCGGCACCGCCCCCGCCTGAGCTGCTCACCGGCGCCGCCCCCGCTCGAGCCGCTCGCCAGCGCCCGCGCGCCTCCCGCCTGTACTCATGCCTCCCGTCGCGGCTGCGCTCCATCCACTACCGCGGCCATTGCCGAGGTCCATGTTGCCGACGAGCTCCGCACCGGTGACCTCCACGCACTTCGTGACATCGAGCTCCGCGCCAGTGTCGAACTCCACAACGACAAGCTCCATTCGTCCAAGCAGCAAGGAGACATTGCTTGCACAAATGTTTCATATGTCTCAGAGATATGTTGCAAGGGTTTCGTATGGATGTTGTATATGTTACAATGGTTGTACACGTATGTTGTAAACGTCTGTTCCCAATGTTTCATCTGTTTTTTCAGACGTATGTTGTAAGTGTGTTTATCTGGATGTTGCATATGTTTCACACATACGTTGCACGTGTTTTGTCTGAATGTTCCGTATGTGTTGCAATTATTTTCAAGTGTTTTTAGGTGTTTTTGCAAGTATTTCAGACGCATGTTTTAAATGTTTCATCTGTCTTCAGCCGAATGTTGCAAATGTTGATATCTGAATGTTTCAAAAGCAGATCGGGTGTTGCATCTCCCTTCTCGCTTTCTACTGCCTCGCCTTCTACTGCCTTGCATCCTTCTCAGAATGCGGAGGGGGCGTAGCGAGGGCCGGCGAAGGGGGTGCACCAGGGGATTGAGGCGCGGACACGAGCGCACGCCATCCCCTTCCGTTACACGGGCAGGTAGCGCTTCGGTCCCCTTTAGTTTTCTATTTTACGCGGGATGCTGAGATGGTCCTGTTGGTGTGTAACACCCCAGGTATTTGCCACCAGTTAAGCAATGGGTTTGAGTTCAAACATGGCATATTAAGTAATGATGAAGATGTCAAGGTCAAACCTATGGAAATGAGCCCCAAGCTAAACTTGGATATTGCACCCTTGCTTTACATATAGGCCCTTTTCAAGATATATGCTTGGCTGGTGTTATTGGAATATCTTCATGTGTCTCACATCAATACCCATCTATATTAATCCATGGAAAAGTTTCGTGAAGTTTGGAATCAAGAAGTCACATGAAATGACGAGTTATGTCCTTGCTTGAATTATTTTATAAAGTGAATGGAATTCTCGATCGGCAACCAAATCTTGCAACCATGCCCAAATGACTCTAGATGAACTCTACAACAAAAGTCATGAAAGGTTCATGTTGAGCAAATGCCAAGAAAATGCTTCAATGGATCACGAAGGATAATTTAAGCTTTATCGTGATCCTACTTTAGTCAAAGTAGAACTATAGCTTCTGCACCTGTTTTAAGGTTGGACATTAAATAAAAGTTGAAGCTTATGTTATGTAGAAGAAACTTTGTTTTTGGAGTATACCATGGATCGGCTCGGAACTAAGTCTAGCAGTGGCTCAAAGTTGGAATCTGCTGCTGATTTCAGCACTTAGAAATATTCTAAGTCTAGAAATTCATCGACCTCGGCATTGGCGTCTCGCGTTCTCTGAAATTCGTTAAGCATCTCAAGTTGACCCCAAAATAAAAGTTGGAGCTAAGTTCATGGAGAAGATCATGTAAAGGGATGGCACTCGTTTGACCTTGTTATGACCCTCAATTTTGGAGTTTGTTAATCGCCGTCAATGCATTGACAATGCCACTTTGGAGATTAAATTACCCACTGTTATGTTGCTCAAATGACTGGAGTGCCTTAATGAAAAATGTAGAGCAGGTCGAGGTGAACAAACTTCGTTTTGGGCCCGAGGTCTAAATCGGTCTAGATCTGGCCCAATTCGGCGCCCACCTTGCCCACATCGACGCTCGCCACGTGCTCGATGTTTTGCCTGCGTGGCCGCCATGCACCAGAGCACGCCCCACCATGGCCGACGCGCGTCCAACCTCCACGCCACGCGCCGCCCTGCTCCCTGCGCCTCCTAATGCGAACGCCCGAGCGCCCGAGCGTCACCTCACCTCCCCACTCCCAGCTCTTCTCCTCGCCTCTCTCCACGTGCCCTCTCACGGCCGCCATGGCCGAGCTCCAGAGCTCGCGGCCACGCTGTCATTCTCGCGGATGTTTTCGGTCGCAGGCCAAGCTAAGCACACCACCGCGTCCGCCTCACCTTGTCCCTCCTCCTGTGCGCACTCTCTAGGCCCATGGTGGCCGAAGCTGCACCCGCGTCGGGCCGCAGCCGCCATCGCCATGCGTGCATGTGGGTGAGCCCCTTGGGGCAGCTTTCGGTGGAGCTGTCCCCTCCCTAGAGTGCTCCCAGCAATAGGGATGCTTCACCGTGACTCCGCGGACACCGGCATGGCCTCCTCTGGCCGGCACCGTGAGCCTCCGATGGCCTCCTCTGCTTTGATTCACGTGGAGGGCTTCGTGCAACAATTAGGAGAAAGGGAGGGTCCTATCTGCAATGTTATAGACTCATATGAATAGTGCTCCTAGGGACCTATTTGTTTTAAATCGGCTGAAAGTTTGGAAAATCATAATAAATCATAGGAAATTCGTAAAATAGAAAATAAGGACTTTTTGGAATCCTTGTGAAATTTTCTATGCAGTAGATCTATAATATTTTAGGTTTTAGTTTAAAGTTTTGGCTGTGAAAATGGATTTATGCATCTAGGTTTTCAATTCTAGTTGTATTTGTCTTTTTCATAACTGCAGTTGTAGGGCTCCAAATGAAGTGAAATTTTTGTGGCATGCTACTCATGTTATGTTTGATGTGTGGTAAAAATTTCATGGTCATTGGTTGCTGCATGAGTGAGTTATTGGTTTATCTTGCTCTCACATGATTTCTTGCTTTAGCAACTTGTCCTTTTCATAGAGGTTGCTATACATATTCAAATGGAGTAAAATTTGTACATTAAACTATTGAGAGTATATGTGAGCCACTGTAATTTTTGTAGAAGTTATTGTGCACTTTTGGCATATGTTCATTAAGTCACCTTGTTATCTAAAATAAATTAAGAAATGCATTAAAAGAATTTATTTGGTCATGGACACTAGGTTTTCTGGTGTTCTTTAGTCATGTGTGATATTTTGGTAAAGTTGGTTTTGCCCAATTATGTGTTTGCAACATAAGTTAATATTTATTTTCTTGCAAATGTGGTTTATGGACAGATTTAGGAACTTAGCAAAGTTCTTCGTGATAATGTGCTTTGTTGTGAAACTTGTTTATACAAAAGTTGTAGCAAATTTCATGATCTTGCTTGTGTTCCAATTGTAAGTCCATAGGCCTGATAGTGTAGGAGTTACATGACTTTTAAGTCTTCTGTGAGGTTTTGATTGTATTCTGAGCAGATCTGAAAGATGCTAGTGTTTGATCTAGTTAGGATTTGAATGAGCTTTTGGTGATAATAACAAAGTTGTATATAATTTATATCTAGCTTCTGTTAAAATTTGGTGGTATTTGGCCTTGTGGTTTGTGAGTTATGCCTGTTTAAAGTTGGGTTTCAGAAATGGCTGCTTTCTGTCAATTGTGGACCAGTTTCTATAAATGGGTATATTTGACTTAGTTAACTTGAGAATCATGCTAAGATGATTAAAGATTAATTGTAGAAAATTTCATAAGCTTTCTAGATTGTCTTGTTGCATGTCTTTTGGATTAGTACAACTCCTATTATGAGTAAAAATTAGCTGCTGTTGTTTGCAGCCTTGACTCTGTGATTGCCGTGAATAACTGGTTTGTCTTGAATGCTTATGTGATGCATCTTGTGTTACCATTCATCACATTCATACACATGCATCTTGCATCTCATCTAGGTGCGCTAGATGAACCACGTGAAGGACGTGATGTTGGAGCCGAACCCGAAGACGGTGTATGGAGGATCTATCCCGAAGATGGAAGGACTAAGCGAGTGCTAGGACCTGAGACGTCACCAAGATGGTGCAAGCTAACTGAACTGACTTGTGTCGGATCCCAGACAAGCCTCGGAGCATTCTAAGTCTCCTAATTTACAAAAACAATTCTTTCTATATATATGAGTTTATATATTGTTGCATTAAGTTGTAGGAGTTGATTGAAACCGTTGATGCATTTATTACTATCCTTGCCTACCTTATTACCTTTTACCCTGTTAGGTCAGGATCGAATAACTGCTTAACCTTGCTTAGACCGGTAGCGATCGGTGATATCCGGTCACCTACATTATAGGTGGTTACTGGAAGAATTTAGCTATGGAAAGAATGATATCCTGGAATTAACCATGTGTGATGGATAATTGGAGTCCGGACGGAAAAAGTTGGAGGCAACCAGACAGGGTTCTAGGGTGCTGTTAGTTTCCGTCTGTGTCGATTAAGGACCGATCGTTGCTCGTCCCTCTTGTCATGTTGAACACATGCCTCACATTTAGCTGGCCGAATAAAGTACCTTTCGACCGCGAAGCTAGTGACACTATTTTGAGCCGGGATAAACTCGGATTGGCAGACTGGTGCTGAAGAGGGTATGACGGGGACGCGAAGAGTGAGCCCAAGGTGCGTCCTGGCAGTCGGGCGGTCCCTGGGTAGTGCGGTCCATAACGGTTATCCCGCGGCTACTTGGAAAGTGTCATTGGTGATCTAAACGACCCTGACGGAGGAAGCGTGGTTTGTGTGAGGAATAAATCACCAGCTGGTTAGGAATCGATTCGAATCGCCATCGCTCCTGGATAGTGAGCACTTGTCTCGAGCTACGGCATCGTAGTAATTATTATGGAACAATGATGGTTATCTGGATGGTATGGGATATTCTAAATCTAAATTGGTAACCGGTTGTTATTGGTTAATCAAGTGATTGCTATAGTACAGCTGCTTACCTAGATGGATAGGTTATAATAATGATGATGCAAAGTACTTAAAATAGTTTCTTCATGATAGCTTATGCTTTTCGCAAACAAGTCAGCTAGCCCACTAAAGAAAGCCTTGCATAATCCTTGGTGTCGTTTTATTTTAGTTTAAGACGGGTAAGTCTAGCTGAGTACATTCGAGTACTCAGGGTTTATCCTACCATGTTGCAGATGAAGTTCTTGGCCTGCTGAAGATGGTGGCTAACCGCCGGTGGACTCGGTGATTCTATATTTACTTCTCATCTATATGCTTTTGTCTGAGGATGTCACTTATGCTAGCAATGTATTTGGAACTTATATTAATGTAATCATTTGAAAGCTATGTTGTTTTCAATAATTGGTTTTGAAACCCAAACTTGTACTATTATTTGTGAACCCATTTGTAATATTATTTCTGCTGCAACTCTACGTATGTGATGTGTATTTGCTTAATCACGCGATCTTGGTTGTGATGTTGATTTACCGAGGTCTTTCGAGACACTCGGCGGACTACCGAGTGTATATAAGTGAAAGTATGCACGTGTCAACGTGTTAGCGGGGACAGCCGTACTTGATCTTGTATAAATTGGACGGTTCTGTCACATGGTGGGCCATGACGCCAGCCCATGGTTTCGTTGGCTGGGGACTGGGAGATGCGTCTGGATGTGCTGCGGGCGCCGGACGTCCGGGCGCTAGTGCCCTTGAGCATAAAAAGGTAGTATATAAGATTTTTGGACCTTAACTTCTCTAAAAAAATTCTTACTAAACAAAGCCTCCATACTATACAAAATTTAGAGATGCCTTCAAAATGTTTCACCAAAAGTTTTTTTTCAAGTGGTCCTATTCTTTTCAAACTTCTTTAAAGAATATGCCACAAAACATCTAAAAGTGGCTAACCAAATATGATACCGTAAGTCTTCGAGTGTAAAACGATAATGATATGGCTCGGGTGTCCGTACCATGACTTTCCGTTCGGATGTGGCTCATTCTCGTCCACTCTCCTGCATAGCTCGCGTGACTCCAGTCCAGACCTCGTGGCTCATCCTCATCAACTTGTCGACATCGCTTGCGCCGCTCTGTGCTGTGCGCCCCGCTCGTGGTCGCAAGACGGATTTTACCTCTGCCGCTTTCGCCCGCCCCCTTGAAGCCGCTCATCAGCGCCGCTTCGCCTGAAGCTCGCGCCGCGGCGCGCCTCCCACCTGTGCTCATGCCTCCTGTCGCGGCTACGCTCCATCCACTACCGCGGCCGCTGCCGAGGTCCATGCCGTCGACGAGCTCCGCACCGTCGATCTCCATGCACTTTGTGACATCGAGCTCCGCGCTAGTGTCGAGCTCCACAACGACGAGCTCCATTCGTCCAAGCAGCAAGGTGACATTGCTTGCGCAAAAAACGCATGTTACAAGCGTATGTTTCAAGTGTTTCATATGTTTCAGAGGTATATTGCAAGGGTTTCATATGGATGTTGCATATGTTATAATGGTTGTACACGTATGTTGCAAACGTCTGTTCTCAATGTTTCATCTGTTTTTTCAGACGTATGTTGCAAGTGTATTTATCTGGATGTTGCATATGTTTTACACATATGTTGCACGTGTTTTGTCTGAATGTTCCATATGTGTTGCAATTGTTTTCAAGTGTTTTAGGTGTTTTTGCAAGTATTTTCAGATTGTCTTCAGACGTGTGTTGCAAGTGTTGGTATCTGAATGTGTCAAAAGCAGATCGGGTGTTGCATCTCCCTTCTCGCTTTTTGCTGCCTCGCCTTCTGCTGCCTTGCATCCTTCTCAGAATGTGGCGGGGGCGTAGCGAGGGCCGGCGAAGGGGGAGCACTAGGGGATTGAGGCGTGGACACGAGCGCATGCCATCCCCTTCCGTTACGTGGGTAGGTAGCGCTTCGGTCCTCTTTAGTTTTCTATTTTACGTGGGATGATGAGATGGTCCTGTTGGTTGGCCATGACGCCAGCCCACGATTTAATTGGCTGGGGACTGGGAGATGCGTCCGGACGCGCTGCGGGCGCTGGACGTACGGACGCTAGTGCCCTCGGGCATAAAAAGTTATGGAGTAGTATATAAGATTTTCGGACCTTAACTTCTCTAAAAAAAATTCTTACTAAACAAAGCCTCCATACTATACCAAATTTAGAGATGCCTTCAAAATGTTTCACCGAAAGTTTTTTTCAAGTGGTCCTATTCTTTTCAAACTTCTTTAAAGAATATGCCGCAAAACATCTAAAAGTGGCTAACCAAATATGATACCGTAAGTCTTCGAGTGTAAAACGATAATGATATGGCTCGGGTGTCCGTACCGTGACTTTCCGTCCGGATGTGGCTCATTCTCGTCCACTCTCCTGCATAGCTCGCGTGACTCCAGTCCAGACCTCGTGGCTCATCCTCATCAACTCGCCGACGTCGCTTGCGCCGCTCTGTGCTGTGCACCCCCACTCGCGGTCGCAAGATGGATTCTGCCTGTGCTGCTCGGCGGCGCCGCCCCCGCCTGAGCTGCTGACCGGCGCCGCCCCCCAAGCCGCTCACCGGCGCGCCCGCGCCTCCTGCCTGTACTCATGCCTCCCGTCGCGGCTACGCTCCATCCACTACCGCGGCCGCTGCTGAGGTCCATGCCACCGACGAGCTCCGCACCGTCGACCTCCACGCACTTTGTGACATCGAGCTCCGCGCTAGTGTCGAGCTCCACAACGACGAGCTCCATTCGTCCAAGCAGCAAGGTGACATTGCTTGCGCAAAAAACACATGTTACAAGCGTATGTTTCAAGTGTTTTATATGTCTCAGAGGTATGTTGCAAGGGTTTTCATATGGATGTTGCATATGTTACAATGGTTGTACATGTATGTTGCAAACGCCTGTTCCCAATGTTTCATCTGTTTTTTCAGACGTATGTTGCAAGTGTTGGTATCTGAATGTTTCAAAAGCAGATCGGGTGTTGTATCTCCCTTCTCGCTTTTCTGCTGCCTCGCCTTCTGCTGCCTTGCATTCTTCTCAGAATGCGGAGGGGGCGTAGCGAGGGCCGGTGAAGGGGGAGCACTAGGGGATTGAGGTGTGGACACGAGCGCATGCCATCCCCTTCCGTTACGTGGGCAGGTAGTGCTTCGGTCCTCTTTAGTTTTCTATTTTACGCGGGATGATGAGATTGTCCTGTTGGTGGGCCATGACGCCAGCCCACGATTTAATTGGCTGGGGACTGAGAGATGCGTCTGGACACGCTGCGGGTGTCGGATGTACGGACGCTAGTGCCCTTGAGCATAAAAAGGTACGGAGTAGTATATAAGATTTTCGGACCTTAACTTCTCTAAAAAAAATTCTTACTAAACAAAGCCTCCATACTGTACCAAATTTAGAGATGCCTTCAAAATGTTTCACCGAAAGTTTTTTTTTTCAAGTGGTCCTATTCTTCTCAAACTTCTTTAAAGAAGACTTTGGCCGCTGTTTAAAATGCTGAAACCCTGTCACCCCGAGTCCCCGAGAGCACCGCACCTCACCGCACCGCGCAGCCAGATGGCCTCCTCCTCCTCGTGCCCGCTCGCCCCCGGGCCAAGCGGCTCCAATTCCAAGCCCAGGACGGCGCGCGCCAGCGGCGTCGGGTTCGGAGGCGTAGCAATGGCGCGGAGCGTGGCGGCGGTGAAGCTGGAGCCGTGGGCGGCGAGCGCAGAGGAAGGGTCGTCAGTGGTGCCGCGGTCGATGGAGGGGCCGCCGCTCCCGGCGCCGTTCGTGGCGAAGACGTACGAGATGGTGGAGGACGCGGCCACGGACGCCGTGGTGTCGTGGGCGCCCGGCGGCGCGGGGAGCAGCTTCGTGGTGTGGGACCCGCAGGCGCTCGCCGCCGGCATCCTCCCTTGCTTCTTCAAGCACGCCAACTTCGCGTCCTTCATCAGGCAGCTCAACATCTACGTACGTACGGTATCTCCCACCCACACCCGCACCCGCACCAACGCGCACATGCCCTTGCAACATAGGACGAGACCCGTTCGCTCGAACTGCATGGTGTGTGTGATTTTGTTACTAGTTGCTGCTTCGTGATGTGATGAACGGCGTTCTTCCGGCGACCGCTTTAGTTATCTCGTATGCTTTGTCTCCCTTGCGTAAACTGCTGCTAGCGATTCCTGGACGTCAATTGCTTCCCTGTTACCCGTTGTTATCTGATCAATGTTTGGTCATAGTTGTCTGTGTTGCAAAAGGCAGGAGATGGGAATCTGATTCAAATGAGTTCATGCTAGTATGAGCCTATGAGCTGCCTCAATTTTGCGGCAAATGTGTACACAACATGGTGTCCTGACAATTGAGCATTCTATTTAGTCGGAATTGGTGGCAAGACTAACGTGGGAGGGTGTTCTAGTGTTCCTGGATTCTGAAGAATTTGAATTTGGAACCATGGGTAACTTTGTAGAGATAACAACTGAAAACTGGCCCCAGTCCCAAGTTCCCAACTGCTTATTATGCTGATCCATGTGCCTGTAATTTGGACTGTTGGGTATAGCAGTTAGCCAGTTACTTTATAAAAAAACTCCACCTGCGGGGGGTAAGCCACCCCCGGGCATTGCTGTAAGAGAGAAGACCTTCTCACACAGGCCGAGAAAACCCCCGAACCCCTGCCCCACCCTGACACAGGGGCACCGTTGCCCTGTGAGAACCGGGCCGGGCCTTTGACCTGTGCTTTGGCCGTGGGACAGGCGAGGGGATTTTTTTAACCCCAGCCTGAAATTCGCTCCCACGGGGAGTCCTGACTCCTGAGGAGTGCTGCCGAGGCCACCTAACCAGTTCAGCTAGGCACCCTTTGGCGCCAGTTACTTTATTTCAGGGTTGTCATGAAATAAAGCTGAAAATCGTTGGCAACATAAACAGCGGAAATTCAATGTTGATGTAGCTGCCTTTGTGCGCCCAGCCAAAATATTCAATCATTCCACTCAATGGGTTTGTCTATCCAGAATCTTCGAGAAGATTTTAATCTTTTGCGATGAATTAGATGTGCTTAGATTTCATCTGCTCCATCCAGTATGTTGTGTGAAACACTAAATCCAGTTTCTTCACGTTGTGATCTAAGATACTTGTTATATTCACTAAAACCAAGACTACAAGTGTCCAAGCAGTTGGTATGTCATAATCAAATTCTATTCCACTGCTCTCAAGTACTGAACCTCATGACCTGTCCAACTTTTAGCAGTCAAAAAGCAAAAGGTGATGGGAACATATGATTTAACTGAAATTTGTTGTTTTTGTTTGTCCGCTTGATGATGTTGAGCTCCGTTATTTCTAGCAGTACATATCTGGACTTAATTTCCATGAGCTGGAGGGCAGTTCCTTTGTTCTTTAAGGCCTTAATTTTTCTTATTGCAAGTAATTTCATAGTGCAGTGTGTTATGGTACCTTAGGTTGATTTGTGTGCTAAACTGCAATGCCATTTTAACTTTTTTTTCTTGTTTTTTCCCCAAAATTACATATTGCCATTATGCAATATATATTGCCAGTTATTTGGGCTCGGCTCATAGAAAAAATATTGCAAAACTTTGTATTTCTCATATAACTTTGGCTTCCTGGTCATGCTGACTGATGCTGGTATTGAAAGGTTGATTGTGTTGTGTTACCTCCTGCATAAATGCTAATGGCTCTGTTCCTGTTGTGCAGGGATTCAGGAAGGTGAATCCGGATCGTTGGGAGTTTGCAAATGAATCCTTCTTAGCAGGCCAGAAGCATTTGCTGAAAAACATCAAGAGGAGGCGCACTTCCAAGCCTCAGATGGAAGCACAGCCAAGAAACTGTGCAGGTGCTTGTCTCAGACCGCCAAAGGATCCCAGCGAGGTCGAGAGTTTGAAACGAGACCGGGCAGCACTCAGGGCTGAAGTCATCACGCTAAGGCAGCAGTACAGCATTTGCAAATCCCAACTCGTCGCCTTGGAGGAGAGGATCTTGAACAACGAGAGGAACCAGCAGAGGGCCATCGCCTTCTTTGCAAAGGTGCTCAGCAACCCAGGTTTCGTGCAGCAGGTCCTGCTCAACTATGCCAAGGAGAAAGAGCTACGCGGCGCTTCCAAAAGACAGCGGCTGATGAAAAACGAAGAACATCGGCACGGCGATTTGCCACTGAGGAATAGCACCGAAGCTGCGCTTGGGACAGTGGTGGCTGGCGTCTCTGCGGGGAGCAGCGATGGTGGCACAGCCGCGAAACAGGAACCTGGGCCTGAGTTGAATGGTCAGGAGATGGACAGTATTTGGTATGGTGTGTGGGACGAGCTGGACGTGATACCAGGCGCTGATATGGACTGGCGAGAAGCAGACAAGGGCGTGGCTGGCTTCGACGTCGAGGACTTCAGTGGACGGCCTTGCGGTTGGGATGATGACTGCTCGTATCTGGCGGAGCCGATGCAGTTTGTGGAGCACTATGACTAGAGGTGCAAGAATAGCTTGATCTGGAGCTGGAGAGGAATAGTGGCTTGTTCATAGCTTCATCATATTAGGATTCTGCCAACTGAAATTCGTATATAGGAACAGGAACAGTGGGTTGTTTAACTCGCAGTTTAGTTGACATGCTGGCTGTGGTGTATAGCGTCAGCTCTGACTTCTGAGAACATATCGAGCTCAACTATAGCGCCACCTCTCTGGCTCTGCAAACCAGGAATTTGTAAAAAAGAGTTATTGTGATAGTTTATGTTTTCTTCTTTTCTAACTATTGCTGGATGAAGCACAGGGTGCACACGAATGACACCATTGTGGAGCATTTGCCTTTCGCACATTGTTACCACCCTACGCTTGTATATTTCGTGAGCTACTACGGGTAAAGGACATATGTAATTATTGATATGAAAAAACCCTTCAAAATTTTGGTCGAGTTAGGTAAAAGTTTGCGTAATTGATACGTAAAAAACATTTCAAATAAAAAAAAACTTTAAAATTCTGGTTGACAAACTCCAGAAGAAACATTGAGATACTAATAAGAAGAAAGATCATTCCTTTAGATTTAGTTGGTTGAGTCTGTGTTTGAATACCATAATATTAAGAAACTGCCTTGTGCAGTCTGATTACAAAGATAGGTGTTTTTACATGTTCAGCACAATAGGTGTTTTCTGATTACAAAAATCAAAAGATGTATAATTTTGTAACAATACTTTCACAGCTGCCTTGTGCATTCTGAATCAATAAAATTCAGGTGGGGAGCCTCTCCCCCCGGTGAGCTTCAAGAAAAGATATTAAGAAACTGTGATATTGAGAAAATGCAATTATCTGTCTGATCTGGTGGGGACTTCCCGACTCTCTAACGGATCATGAGATCATCTAGTGGTTCTAGCTTGACTGTATGACAAGCTTGGCCAAGTCCCTATGATGCAGCAAATGTTTAGGTATGACTGTGTGACACATCGGCAGGCCATGTGGCGAGAAATATTCTGTATATTCCAGCTAGTCGTTGTTGGAATCAACCGGATTAGTAGCGCCGTATGATCCGGCATCAACAATGGTGGACAACGGATCATCTGGTGATATTTACATCTGTTAGTTTTTTCCAACGACTAGTAGCCGTTTCAAAAAAGTGCAACCCCTAGCTTATTTGGAGATGCTCTTCCACCCCACTATTGCTAGCACTTATAGAGAGAAATGTGAAGCCTTTGGAGAGCCATCCAAGTTAGGAACTGAGATTTGAGTGTTATTCTTATGGGCTACCAGTGTTCTTGCTTGGATTTCTTTGAGCTGGAGCTGAAGACTTGTTACTCTTGGTGATTGTCATCACTTAAACAACTCAATAGAGGGTTGGTGTCCTTCCTCGATAGAGTCCTAGTTGAGGATGCTCCAATTAATGTTCATGATTTGGAACCCTCCATTCTGGAATGGAGAAGGGTATTCAATAATCAATAGTTAAGTAGCTTAACCGAGTATTGGCGACTCTTTGATGCTCCAATATGGACTAGAGTGTTATGGCAACAACCCGATACCATGGGAAAGAATCTGGTTGTCTCTTTGACTCTTTTCCATTATTGCATTACTTGTTTAAGCTTGTTTGTGTGCAAGTTTCTTTGAGTAACAACTAGAATTGCATAACAGAGTGTTTAGTATAGGTTTAAGGAAGAATAAAATAAAGTTTATGTACTTTTATTTTAGACCTATGGATCCTTTTGTACAATTGTTTATTGTTTATGGAATGACATTGCGATGTACCACTGATAAGTCATTACATGCATGAATAAACTGGATTCTAGTATACACATGACTTGAATTAAGTTTTATCCTTAAAAACTAGGTGTGACTTGTGCTCTTCCGGTATATCTGTGCTTCTACATCTCTGATCATTCGCCAAGATTTCTGATAGATTTTATAATCATGTAATGTCCTAAAATAATTCAAACGGACCATACGACAAGGGTTTGTTTGTGGCTCTGAGTGCCATTCGTTCATCATCGAATATCTAGTTTAAGATAGCCGCCTTTGCAGGCTGTGCACCAAGTCAAATTCACATCGTTTTTGGATCTAAAGTCCATGTGAGCCGCATATTATTACCTAAGAATCGTAAAAAAGGAGTTTTATATCATGTTTACTGGGTTTAAGCATTCAAGTGGGTTTTCTCTATTTCACTGAATGACATACTAGCATGTGTATTTGCTATCATGAGAGAGCTTCTCGAGTTTCTTATCACCCACTAATTTGTTCGGGTTCAACTTCTGATGGACTAACTGCGCTCCCCTTTCCTGCAAAGGCAGAGGGGCTCTCTAATCCGGCTCTCCCCTGCTGCAACGGCAGGGGCTTAATAAACGCAGTCAAATCCCCCTTCGGGTGAGCATCCCCAGCTGGTTGGCCTGGTTGGATATACATAGAGCTCATCAATCAACGGGAAGACCCAAAGCCTTGGGGTTACAAGCCTGTGCGACCAGGCCCGGCGAGAAAAGGGTCAGCGCATCTTTTTTTAATGCCGGTTTGGTGTTATTAGAACAATCCTTTTGGTACTAATTTTTCTGCGAGGAAGCAAGAGTATATCTATATACGCGATATATACCCATGCACTGAGCGCATGGCCCTTGCACGGGCTCGCGATATTTAAAAGGCCGGCCCATTGGTGCTCCGAACACGCCTTTTTGTTTTTGCGACGGAACACGCAAAAAAAAAAAATTGTATATGCAGCGTCTCTAAAGGTGAAAAAAAACAATTATACATGCAGTATCTTTTTTTTTAAAAAAAAAGATTATATGCAAACTGAACGCTTTGCCATTACGCCCTCAGGCCTCAGGTCGCGCCACACCAAAATTTATGCTTCACCACTTGTCGGTGTAGAAAGTGATTAACACGTAAATATTTATAATTTTGTCGTACGTTGTGATCGGAGGTGGAGCATTCAATGACATAGGGTTTATACTGTTTCAGGCAACGTGCCCTACGTTCAGTTTGAGTCGGTCGGTGACTTTATTCCTGAGCCCAGGTGCTCGAAGTTTGCAGTGGGGTTACAAACGAGAAGGAGAAAGATAAGGGTACAAGAGGTCCGGTCGAACTCTGGTCGGAGGGGCTAAGAGTGATGGGAGCTCCACTATGTACTAAGTGTTCGAGCGTGTGCTTGTCTAGTGGTTCTGTTATTATGTACTAGTGAACTGATCGATCCCCCTGTTGGGAGGGAGCGCATCCCCTTTTATAGATAAAAGAGATGGCCTTATAAGTGAGAGGGAGAAAGTACGTATGCTACTAAGTCTTGTTGCCCATGCCGACGGGTACAAGATGATGGTAGACGCACACAATACCGTTTTAATGTCAGATGCACGTGGGAGGTTGCGTCGTCTTCTTCTGGTATGGCAGACGTCGGTGCTTGCCATACTGTTGATGCCGAGAGGCATGCAGGGGGTTTTACCATGTTCGTCTGGTATGGTAAATACCGGCGCCCACAACACTGTTGATGCCCAGAGGCATGTGGGGGGAGCCTTACCGTGTTTGTCTGGTATGGGAGTTGATGGCGCCCACAACACTGTAGGAAAAATGTCGGCGCTTACAACACTGCTTGGGTTCTGTTATGCCAAGGAGGTCGCATGGTACTGTCTTGCAGATGTACAGGGTACGTTTCTCGGTATTACGGTTGACTTGGGTGCCCTGCTTTTCTTTTTTCGTCCGTTCTCTAGTCCTTACCGAGCGGACGTCCCTGATCGGTTGGTCCCAGTCGGCTCTGATTGCGTCAGTTGGAGAAGAGTAGTGAGCAGGGGTTTGGCGCATCCTCAGTCGGAGACGCGGGTCGGAGTCGGAAGTGGCGTTTGGCCAGGCCTTCCGATCGGAGAGGCCGTCCGGAGGTGGGCTAGTGTTGGAAGCGAGCGCTGTTCCTTCTTCGTGAGGCCTTCTGGTTGGAGAGGCGGTCCGGAGTCGAAAGCGGGCGCCGTTCCTCCTCGGCCAGGCCTTCCGGTTGGAGATTGGATTGTCCTTCTGGCCTGTCGTTTAGGTGTTTTGGGCCGGCCCATGAGTTGCACGTTGTTTGCAACGTTGTCTGCTGGGCCGAGCCTTTGTTGAAAGCCGGTCCGTGAGGGACCCTGAGTTTATGAACCCGACACCACTTCTCCGCTCTATTTCTTTCTTTCTTCGATTGAGATGATACAGAACTAGTGCAAGGTGCGCGCCCTCGCGGGCGTCGGTGGACCCGGTTAAGTTTTCGAAGGTGGGCAAAATGTGTTGAACATATAGATTGGAATATGAGTAAATAACAGAGTTATATATATATATATATACACACACACAACACGAATAGTGTCTTTTCAGCTAGAACAGTATTTTTCTCTTACAATAATCCAGCTGGAACAATATTTTGGCTTATTCAACCGGCCTGCCGAACAAGCCCATATATATTACATCCGGTTTTTGACACGATAGAGTAACTTGCAGTTTCTGTGCCCTCCTTGGTAACTGAAGGATAATGGGTTTGTCCATCAAAAATACACACTAAAGTACTAGTGCACAGTGGAAGCAAAAATACTTCATCAAAGTTCGAAAAATCATCTGAATCTTCCTGGTATCATCTAGAGGTAGCAACCTCTGCAGGTTACAATAACAATTGTTTACAAAAGATTAATGTCATAGTTGGAGTCTTGCATGTGAAAAAAAAAATTCCAGGCAAGGTAGCCAATGATCTGGGTGAATTACCTTCAAATTCTCAAGGTCATCATTGACCAAAAGATGATCAAAGAGACCAGGTTCATTGGACTGATGAAGTTTAGCCCGAGCATTTGAGTCGTTTCTTATTTGTACTGGATGATGCTTTATTACGTAAATCTTGAGCATGTAAGAAGTAATAGATAGAAATTGACAATTTACTTCTCAAAACATGAGAGTGCTTAATTACATGTGTGATTCCTTGTTTGAGTATGTAAAAAGAGGGAACACGTAGGTTGCGTAGCTCATGTTTCTCAGCACATCGAAACCTAAACTCCTTGTTTGAGTAT